AGGAAAAAAACACTGAGGCAAAACCCTGCTATACACAGCGCTTTCGTAATCTTTAATATTTTGGTTTCAACCCTATCGACTGCACAAGGGTCATCAAGGCTGCACGTCGCATGTTCACCACCAGTTAAAAATACTTTAATCCTTAAAACAGAGATTAAAATACACAGATACAACTCTCAGTATTTATCCTATTGTACCTGTAAGTCACATCATTTAAGCTATTCTTTTAATAACTGATTTTTTTTTCAAAAACCTGATGGGCCGAGTGTGTATCTAGATTCCTGGAAATCTTTGGATACACTTCTTAATAAAAAGATTTATTCTGGAGACTGCATAAACACTGGAAGAATAAAAGGCAAACAATTATAATTTCTTATTTGTAGTTACAAAAGCAAAGTTGTGCTTGTGGTATCTCATTTCCATTATTTTGCAAGCAGTCTCCTACTATTTACAAAAATGAAAAGTTTATCATACTAGAAGCATTTAATTTCTCTTATGACGTAATTTTTTCCTTATACAACGTATATTTTCTGTTTGAGGAAAATTCGAAAATGGGAAGAGGAAAAACTTGTAAATGGGGGGGGGGGAGAGTAACGTTACCACTGGGGTGCCACAAGGATCTGTACTTGCCTCCGAAATGTTTTTAATTTATATAAACAGCGTGCTACAATTAATAAAAAGAAAACATATGAATGTTTGGCGACGATAGAAAGAGCTAATGAAAACTCGACAATAACTGCTGTAAATCCCAAGTTGGCTAAATCGAAGAAATGGAGCCAAAGATGAAAAACGTGGATAAACCTTAGGTAATGTAAATGGAAGGAAAAATAAAACCAGCAACGTAATGAATAATAAGTAACAAAATTTAGAGAGAGAGAGAGAGAGAACGAGAATTTAAGTATTTCATTAACAGAAGACTGTCGCAGGAAGATCAGAGAGAGAGAGAGATCTTGAGTGTTTGACCAACAATACTGTCACCGGAATATCATTTGAACGAAGCTGAGGAAACTCTTGTGCTACACTAGCAAATCACAAAATACTTCCCAAGAAAGAATAGAAATGTGCTAAAAAAAAATTCACAACGTATGTGTAGCCAAAATCTGAGTAGGCAGCTTCTGCGTCTTGGTCACAAGTGAAGAGAAAAACGTGTAAATAGAAAAGGTCAGAAATAAAGGCTACAAAATGGTTTCAAGAGCTCAGAAAATGGTAAATTACGATGAAGGGTTGAAGTTACTCTTATTTGCAGAATCATGGTAGAGGACGATCATAATCATGGTAGAGAAAGAACATAAACAGGGTGAATTGTGGTAGAAGAGGAACATGAATCACGGTAAAGGAAGAGCATGAATCTTGGTAGATAAGTAACAGGAATATTATCCACCAATGAAGATACCATCACCATTTTGCTTTGTTTAGTAATACAGCTGTAGTAACCCAGTGTAGATACTGCATCCACTAAGAAATAGTAACTAGCCGCCACCATCACCACCACTAGAGATATTAACTAACCATTGCTGCCGCCACCACCACCAGTACTATGATTAGGCTTGTGCTACCACCACCAACACCCAAATAACAGTAAGTGCGGGAGGGCGGTAGTGCACGCCTTACCCTGGCTACCCTGGCGGCGCCGCCTGCGGTGCAGTACGCAGGCGACGAGCACCACGTTGACCAACACCAGCAAGCCTCCTACAGTAGACACGGACAGTGTCACCACCCTCGGCAGGTCAGCCTTGTCTGCCAACACCCGTGAGATTGCTAGTTCCACCTCCGTCAGCGGCGGCGAACCTGATAACACGGTAAATTGAGACACACTGGAGGGGGAGAAATGCGGACTGGGGGGCACAGCCCCCCAGGAGTTAAAGGTGGGCACTGACCTGTGAGCCGCTTGCGGGCTCGGCGTCTGACGAAGCAGGTGACGAGGGCCACGTTCAGGACGAGTAGTGCCGCGCCCACCAGCGTGATGATCACAACGATGAGGCCAGAGACACGGTCGCCAGGTGCCACGGTAGGCGGTGTGTCCGTGGCCGGCGCCGTGCCTGAGGGAGGGAGGACCAGGAGCTACACTACTACTACCACCACCACCACCACCCACCAATAGTGCTCCACCATTACCATTACTGTAAGGCTACTAAATAACCATCACCAGTACGACCAGTATTACCTTCACACAACCACCATTACTACCACTGCTTAGACACACACACACACACACACACACACACACACACACACACACACACACACACACACACACACATACACGACACGCACGCACGCACGCACGAGGGCAGAACGAACAAAGGCACAAATGAAGCACAGATGTTGCAAGCATACCAGGGAACAACAGTAAAGCGTCGCTTTAATACGGAAGGAAAATATCTGAGGCTTTTCATGCAGGGATGGATGGGACAGTAGTGAAGGAGGTTTCACTCCATGCAGGGATGAATGTTAACAGGAAAGGAGGCTTCATTCCAACATGCAGGGATGGATGGTAACAGTAGGGAAGGAGGTTTCACTCCATCATGCAGGGATGAATGGCAATAGGGAAGGTTTCATCGTACAGGAATGGATGACAGTGAAGGAGGATTCACTTCATCATACCATGCAGTTATCATGAACTGTTTGGCAACCTCAGTGAGGGCATTAACTGTATGTGTGCACATTAACACAAAATTGTCAGTTTAAGAGCAACAGCCTGGTTGACCAGGCAAGTCTGGCAAGTAGAAAAGCCCTTGAAACCCTTCAGTGTGTTATCAAAAACAAAGGTGACGTGATTGACTTCGCTGACAAAGCTTACAAATCTCTTATAATTATGAATGTATCTAATTTTATACCCGGGACTGTGTTAAGTTGCTTAAATCTTTTTTTTGTAATGTGACTATTATATTTCACCTATTTTTTTAATGTAACCCCCTTTCTCAGATTTAAGTCCCTCTATAGAATGATTAAAATCTCCGTGAATAGAACATTAGACCCCTGGCAAATAGTATTAATAAAATTTTATTTATATTTTATTATATATTTTTATATATTATATATATTTATATATATTATATTATAATTTTTTGAGTAATTTTGTGAAATCTGTGTAACGAAAATGGGATGGGTAAGAAAAGGTACGATCTCAGACCTTTTAGAAATTAGAAATAGCAATGTTTATATTTTCTAGATTAATTAAAAAAAATAGTTTAAAAAAGCCTGATTTCGTTTTTGGTTGTTTAATAAAACGAATGACTGGTTCATAGCAAAGTGTGCATTTTTTTGGGGATGACTTTGCTCTCCATCTGATACGTTATCCCGCCAGGGGTCTAAATCCCTTTTTCCCGGGTCTGGATAAAGGTTTAATAATTTGATTCAAAATTTTTACATCATGAACCGTTAAAATTTAATTTTTTATCAGGGGGTTTTAAATTTAAGTATTTTTTGCACCCGTAAAATTTAAAAGAATTATTAAGGTTTAATTTTAAATTTAAATTTAAACTGTAAATATATTAAAATTTCATTTAAAGTGCGTTTAAATTTAAATTTATCTTTAAAAGCAATGGATTTGATTTAGATTTTTTATGGTAATCAGATCTAGTTTTGAGGTAATTTTCTAAAAAATTTTGATGAATTTGATTTAGATACTGATGGTTATATTACATTTTTATGGTAATTATAAATTAAAATAAGATAAGCATATTCAGATTTTTTAGGGGGGTAAAATTAGGGGATTTTATTTTTGATTTTTAGGGTGGGGTTTCCTTTAAATTTTTAATTCCCTTGTATTAAAAATTTTAGGGACTTTGTTTGTGTAACCCCCTATCCTCCCGTGGTTTGGGAAAAGCTAGTTTGTGGACCCCATATCCATCCGTGGAATGGTAAAAGTATAAGTGTACCCCAAACCCCTCCTGTTTTGGGGGGGACTGTTTTTTTTTGTGCATCCCATAACCATCCCCTGGGGTGGGGGGGCTAGTTCATTTTGATCCCATAACCATCCGTTTTAAAGGAGTGGCATTTGTGTACCCAATATTTCCCCTTTCCCTTTGGGGGTAGTGGGGTAGTTTTATTCTGCACCCAAAAATTTTAACCTTTTGGATGGTAGTGGCCTTTATTTTGCCCCTCTTTATATCATCTTTAGAAAGGTAGTGGCTAGTTTACCCAAAGGGGTCCCAATCCAAACTTCAAAAATGGTAGTGGTTAGGGTTTTCAAACCAAACCCTTCCATCTTTTAGATGGTTTTGGTTTGTTGAAATATCCATCCCATATCTTTCTTCTAATGGAAATGGCTAGTTTACTATCCATCCCCAAACCATATTTTAAAATGGGGAAATGGCTGGGGGTTCCAAACCAAAACCCATAACCCTCTTCTAGTTTGGGAGTGGCTATTTAAATATCCCCCAAATCCCCTCTTCTGGATGGTATGGCTAGTTTTTCTATTTCCCTCCCATATTTCCAATTCTTTTTTGATGGTAGTGGTAGTTTTCTATTTCCCTCCCTATCCATTTCTGATGGAAGGTGGGTTTTGTTTACTATCCCCTCCCCATATCCATTTCAAAATGGTAGGGCTGTTACTATCCATCCCATATCCATCTTCTAGATGGTAGTTTGGGTTTGTTTTTCTATCCTCCCCAAACCCCTCTTTTAGATGGGAGTCTAGTTTACTATCCAAACACATATCCATCTTTGTGGGAGTGGCAATTTACATCCATCCCATATCCACTTTTTAACGGTAATGGCTAGTTTATATTCCCTCCCCTATCCCTCTTCTAGATGGTAGTGGCTAGTTTACTATCCATCCCATATCCATCTTCTAGATGGTATGGCTAGTTTACTATCCATCCCATATCCATCTTCTAGATGGTAGTGGCTAGTTTACTATCCATCCCATATCCATCTTCTAGATGGTAGTGGCTAGTTTACTATCCATCCCATATCCATCTTCTAGATGGTAATGGCTAGTTTACTATCCATCCCATATCCATCTTCTAGATGGTAGTGGCTAGTTTACTATCCATCCCATATCCATCTAGATTCTAGATGGTAGTGGCTAGTTTACTATCCATCCCATATCCATCTAGATTCTAGATGGTAGTGGCTAGTTACTATCCATCCCGTATCATCTTCTAGATGGTAGTGGCTAGTTTACTATCCCATCCCATATCCATTTCTAGATGGTAGTGGCTAGTTTACTATCCATCCCATATACATCTAGATTCTAGATGGTAGTGGCTAGTTTACTATCCATCCCATATCCATCTTCTAGATGGTAGTGGCTAGTTTACTATCCATCCCATATCCATCTTCTAGATGGTAGTGGCTAGTTTACTATCCATCCCATATCCATCTAGATTCTAGATGGTAGTGGCTAGTTTACTATCCATCCCATATCCATCTTCTAGATGGTAGTGGCTAGTTTACTATCCATCCCGTATCCATCTTCTAGATGGTAGTGGCTAGTTTACTATCCCATATCCATCTTCTAGATGGTAGTGGCTAGTTTACTATCCATCCCATATCCATCTAGATTCTAGATGGTAGTGGCTAGTTTACTATCCATCCCATATCCATCTAGATTCTAGATGGTAGTGGCTAGTTTACTATCCATCCCATATCCATCTTCTAGATGGTAGTGGCTAGTTTACTATCCATCCCATATCCATCTTCTAGATGGTAGTGGCTAGTTTACTATCCATCCCATATCCATCTGTCTAGATGGTAATGGCTAGTTTACTATCCATCCCATATCCATCTTCTAGATGGTAGTGGCTAGTTTACTATCCATCCCATATCCATCTTCTAGATGGTAGTGTCTAGTTTACTATCCATCCCATATCCATCTTCTAGATGGTAGTGGCTAGTTTACTATCCATCCCATATCCATCTTCTAGATGGTAGTGGCTAGTTTACTATCCATCCCATATCCATCTTCTAGATGGTAGTGGCTAGTTTACTATCCATCCCATATCCATCTTCTAGATGGTAATGGCTAGTTTACTATCCATCCCATATCCATCTTCTAAATGGTAGTGGCTAGTTTACTATCCATCCCATATCCATCTAGATTCTAGATGGTAGTGGCTAGTTTACTATCCATCCCATATCCATCTTCTAGATGGTAGTGGCTAGTTTACTATCCATCCCGTATCCATCTTCTAGATGGTAGTGGCTAGTTTACTATCCATCCCATATCCATCTTCTAGATGGTAGTGGCTAGTTTACTATCCATCCCATATACATCTAGATTCTAGATGGTAGTGGCTAGTTTACTATCCATCCCATATCCATCTTCTAGATGGTAGTGGCTAGTTTACTATCCATCCCATATCCATCTTCTAGATGGTAGTGGCTAGTTTACTATCCATCCCATATCCATCTTCTAGATGGTAGTGGCTAGTTTACTATCCATCCCATATCCATCTAGTTCTAGATGGTAGTGGCTAGTTTACTATCCATCCCATATCCATCCCAGGGAGAGAGACAAGATAAACGAAATTCATCACGAGTCTCCCAGAATTTATTCGCTTGTACTTTGACGCATTGTCTTTTTTATTATCTTTAATAAGCAAATGGTCATAATTTCTTTCACGTTTCATGCAGCAAGTATGTGTTTGTGGCAGGTGTTTATCAAGTGTGTATAGCAGGTGTAGATCACATGTCTCGGGTATGTCTTAGGTGTGTTGGGGCCAATATAACCAGCATACACATGACAGGTGTGGGTGCAAGTGTGTTGTGGTCAGCATAACCAGCGTACACGTACAAGGAACATTAAATGGACACACACACAGTTTACATGACAATTATCGTTATTTACGAAAATATAAAACGAAAATATTTGCCACGCGAGCCTCAGGAGAAGAGAGGAGAGAGAGAGAGAGAGAGAGAGGAGAGAGAGCTAGCTAGCTAGCTAGCTAGGTTGCGTGAGAAAGCGTGTGTCGTCTTGTTCAACCCGATTGCTAGACCTCCAAGCATCTGAAGAAGGTTCTAATAAAAGTGAAAGGCCTTAAGCTATATATCCACCCAATGGTGTGTGCACCATCTATCCTAATTTCTACAT